AGTATTGAAGCCATGAAGGCAATAGAAGTTGTGGGTTCTGAGTTTTATGGGCATGGCACTTTTTCATCACTTGAGACACTTGTGTTTTGCAATATGTTAAATTGGAAAGAATGGGCTTCTCCAACCAGAAGTGGAGGTGAATTCCCTTATCTCCATAAACTTGTGATTCAAAATTGTCCTAAGTTGATAAGACAATTACCTAGCAACCTATGTTCCCTCATAAATCTTGAGATATGTGGATGCCCAGAGTTAAGATGCTCTTCTATGAGTCTTACGTTACTTAAAGAGCTAAATATTGGAACCTGTAATGCTGCTCTTTTGAAGAGCATGGTTGATCTCACCTCTGTCACTAGCTTGAGGATTGAGAGAATTTTAGAGCTAAATTGTGTGCCTAAGAGTTTTGTGGAGTCCCTGACAATGCTTGAGTTTCTAAGTGTTAAAAGTTGTGAAGAACTTACTTGTTTGTGGGAGGAAGGAGCAAAAATAGAAAACCTCACTTGTCTCGAGAGAATGGAAATTTCTAACTGTCCTTTCCTTGTGTGTTTGGCAAGGAAAGAACAAGGCCTTTTGCCTTTCAACCTTAAAGATCTTCACCTCTCGAATTGTGGGGAATTGGAGTCATTACCCAATGTGCTGATGAAAAACATGGATGGAAGCAGTGATAGGATGTTGTTTACACCAGAAAAGTTAACCATCAATCATTGTTCTTCTCTCAAGTCTTTTCCAGAAGGCAAATTACCCACTATGATTAAATCATTGTGCATAAGCAACTGTGAAAATCTTGAATCCCTATTGAACGTTAACAACAGCAATCTTAAAGATTTGAAACTAAGTGCACTTCCATCTCTAAATTCTTTTCAAAGTGGTCAATTGCCAAATTCTCTCGTGGTTTTTCTTGTTGATGGTTGTAATGGGTTGGAGTTCTTTCCAGAGAAGATGTTGCAACATTGCACTAGACTTTTTTACATGAAGATAAGTCATTGTGACAAATTGAAAAGGTTACCCATCTTTGACAGCCTCAACGACCTTGTTTATTTACATATCGTAGATTGTGAAATTTTAGAGTCCCTCCCAAAGTTGGACTTATCCATCCCTCATATGAGGTCTTTAATAATAGAAAGGTGTAAGAGTTTTAAGACCTTGCCAGATACCATGTACTAGTTACAAGCACTTCAGAGCTTACACATAAGAGACTGTCCTAGCATTAAGTGCATTACTGATAGGGGTTTGCCCCCGAACTTAACAAGTCTTGTATTATACTGTGAGAATCTCATGTCACTACCAAAAAACATGGTTGAGCTGATATCGCTCCAGATACTAGACATTTCAGATGGGCGTTTGTTGGTGGGATTGGACCTTCACAACCTTAACTCTCTTCAAAAGTTGACAATTAGTCGGACGTGGCCTCCTGATATTTTGTTGCCATCTTCTTTAACTTCTCTTTGGATCATTGATGTAGAAAATTTGGAATCTATATCCAAAAGGATACTCCACAACCTTAACTCTCTTCAAGAGCTATATATACACAACTGTCTAAACCTTCAATCCTTGCCGAGGGAAGGCTTGCCTCCCTTCCTTGGAAAACTCCACATAAAAAATTGCCAGCATCTAAAACAACAGCCCTTTGAGGCAAAGGGAGATTTTTTACATCTCACTCATAGCGTTCCCTGCATTGAGATAGATTGGGATCAGGTAAAACCTTGTTTGAAAGAAAGACTGAAATTGACTTTGTCTTTTATGCTTTTGATATGAGAGTTTAGAAAATTTAAATTGATTATTACACATATAGCATAGCAAGTTGAGTTGAGACTATAGGTTTTTCTCCTCTTTTGTTGCTTTTTCTCATATGATGAATGATATGTGTCCATTTTGTGCAGGTTATGTATGGCTAGCTAGTTAGTAGGAAGAACCAATTCTTACTTGAAGCTCATGAATCCTACAATCTAATCTTCAGGTATAGTATATATATTCTTAGTTTTTAATTTTGGTTTATGCTGCATTCAATTGCCTCAAAAATAATTTATGCCTTTCTGATTTGCAGAAAGAGATTGAATGGTTGAAACTTGACAATTTTCTTATGAAAGGAACATGAATACCATTTAATTTCTATTGTCTTTTTCAAATCCTCTGCCCCCTCCTTGTAGTTGCAAGCGAAGGTCTTACTATTTTGATTCTTAATCTAGTTTTAGTTTTAATTAAATTTAAATTCTAAAAACAATAGCAATGAATCTCAATTTTAAATATGAATTTGAATACTACAGGATCTCACATTTTTCATGTTGAAGAATTGGGAGACTTTTGAAACAATTAGGTGCTAATTGAGAAGGACATACTCAGTGGTACCTCCCTTCTAGCTTGGCAAGTGTTTAAGGTATTGAGTTTTGAAACAGTGAGGTGTTGATTGAAAGCAGATATGACCTTTACTGAATTCAACAAAGCTTGTAATCTGTCCATGTCAAGCTGCAATTTTGAAGATTTGCTATCCAACTTAATCTTGGCATGTTGATTGTGACGTGATTATTGTTGTTAAGAACCTCTAGTCTTGTCTAGAGATAGAGAAGAAATTTTGTAATTTTACTATTTTCAACAATGGAAGTTTTTTGAGGTCCCCTGGTTTTTTTTTTTTTCCCCTTACAAGTTTTTTAGGTTAAGAAATTTAATGTCTTGATTTTATTAATGTATTTATCATTTGATTAACTTTTCACTCATGGACAAAGCTAAAGAAGGTAAAGGAAAAATGCGTACATAGCACCATCCGCCAATGTTTGTGTCACATCAATTTTAAAGATACATAAACTTACCTTAATCATTGTAAAGATTTTTGTTTTTTTGTTACAAAAGCAAAAAACTGACTCAAACTTAAAAAATTACATTGAAATATAAATTTTTTTTACGATTATTTGTTTTTTTTTTTTAACAATTTACAACTTGGGAGATGAGGGATTTTTATAAGGTATTGGTGGGGCTTCAAATCTCAACCAATAAACCCAAGGGCTTTGAAGTTTGGGGACGAACCATTTAAATCTAAAAACCTAATTGGATTATTTGTTTTTGTTTGGTTGTAGCTTTCTAAGTACTTGGAGTGTTAAATCTCAAATCACTTTTCTCGAAAATTAAAAAAAACAAAAAAATAATTATATTGAATTAAATGGTGTTCCTATTACTAAATTGAAGCAAAAATAAAAATAAAAATAAAGAGTTTTTAATTTTAAATTTTTTAAAATTTTAAGAGGTAATACTAATAGACATTATTTCTTTAATTATATATAATATTATATTCAATTATTCATTCTACCAAAAAAATACAATATTATATTCCAATTATAAAATTCAAGGAAAACAAATTATATGCATTTCAATATCATCATTCTCCAATTTTATTCCTTTCCAATTTATAAGAAAAAGGAAATCGTTGAGCTGAAATGGGATTTGATTTTGTCGGAAGGGAAAAAAGAAAAATCGTTGGGCTGAGAGGAGAGTTACGAGTTGGGCCACATAAAGCTCTCTGTATAACTTAATAAGCAACTTGCGGCAACACAGCCAGACCCTACACGGCTTAGAGCAGACCTGCGGCTAGAATTGTTTGAGTCGGGCCCAATTATTACTCGAGATGTTTCAGCCCAATACCCCACAACGGGAGCAATTGCACCCGACGGATGGGGAGCGTAAGACTAAACCTGTTTACAAGGACAGATTATAACCTATGTGAACGATGTGGGACTCTAACCAAAACCAAAAACGACGTCACTTCGCATAAAAACGCCGCTACGTTTTTCTTGTTTTTTGAGAAGGCCTCAGCCACGGTTATTTCCGCGACGCCTCAGTTTTCTTTTTTCCTAAAATGCTAAAATCTCATTTTGGGTCCTTCAATTTTTGTGCCAAGTCCTTTTTTGGTCCTCAACTAAAAAAATGACTTTTTGGTTCCTAATTTTTTTTTTTTCAACCCTTTTTAGTTCTTCTTTTTTACACATGATGCGTTACTTGACAAAACTTTCTTTCATTTTTTCTTTCTCATTCAAACTGACGATGTGGATATTCTAACATGTACAAATGGAAAACTCATGCTTTAATGACCTTCTCCAACAAACCAGAAAGTGAGGACCTCACCCTGTGTCATAATTTTATATCAAAGAGAGCACATCTAAATGAAGAGGAAACATTTCAATGTTGGCCATGCATCCTCAACTTAGCATATGGCATCCTTGTCATCATTTCATGTAATTTCAAAAATTTCTTCCTCACAATAATATTTGAAATCCATCTGTCTTTCATGATAATTTTTACATGCATTTTCTCTTAAGGAATATAAGTGCTTGTTAGCTTAATTATTGCAAAAGTCATCTTTGTTACAAAATAAAAAAAGAAATTGAATCAAACTTAAAAAACTACATCCAAATACAATTTTCTATGATTATTTATTGTTATAACTTTGTCAGTATTTAGAGTACTAAATTTTAATTTTCCTTTCCCCAGGATAAAAAAAGCATAATTATATCAAATTAAATTGTGTCCCTATTACTAAAATGAAGCAAAAAAAATAAAAATAAACAACAGATCAAGCATCTCAATGTATTTTTTTTTTTTTTAGATTGAGACTGAAAACATATAATAGTGTTTATTAAAACTATATAGTTTTGAGTTTTAAAACTTCGTATCTTTTAAGAGGTAGTACCAATTAATATGCATTTTTCTTTAATTACATAACTATTATATTCCTATTTCAAAATTCAAGGAAAAAAATTATGCACCTCAATGATAGAATATAACCATTTTTAATAGAAAAATGTTGCAGTGGAAACGGACTGCACTTTACTTTCATTCTCAGTATCATCATGCTTCATCAATTTTATCTCAAGCCCTGTTTCTTTCTTTTGAGATTTTTTTTTTTTTTTCGAATTTGTAAGAAAAAAGATGGTTAAGAAAAAATAATTGTTGGGCTGAGTTATGAGTCTGGAGTTCGGCCACACAGAGCTCCTTCAGCTTAGAAAGGCCCAGGCCACGAGGTCCACCAAGCATTTCTTCTCGGGCTTTCAGAGTCATTGAAATGGCTGCAGAAGCCAAAGCCCAACTAAGTCTCCGATGGACCTCTGACCTTGAATGTTAGAGCGGGACCCAGCTATTGCTCCAAATGGATCCGTCCAACACCCCACAACCGGGGCAGTTAGTGTTGACGGAAAAGGCTATTATAAGGACATATTAATGCTTCTATTTGGACGATGTGGGACTCTAACCAAGAAAGAAAACGACGACATTTCGAACAAAAGCGCCTCTGCGTTCTTAAAAATTAAAAACCCCATTTTAGGGTTATCAAAGTCCGTTTTCGATCCTTCTAAATGATATTTCCATTTTACTCCTTAAAATTTATTTATAGAGTCTTTTTTTAGCCATTCCATTAAGTTTTTTTATTTTTTTATTTTATTATTTCTTTTCTAGTAATGCGGTATTATTTTCCATTCAAAGTTTCAAACTATTAATGTGGATATTTCAAGGTGTAAAAAATATTGAAGTAGACATATAAATTTAGCCCTTAATTCACTCTCCACTCAAAACAAGAATTGAAGATGTGGGTTCATCTTTTATGAAAATTTCAAATGTTAATGTGGCAAATTTTTTATTAGAAAATTATTTTCTTAATTAAAAAAATTGCATGTTTCCATTCACATGGATAGTTGAGTAGAACAATTTTAACATTTATTGTTTATTTAAATTATGAGTAATGAGACATGATAATCTTTTTATATAATTTTTTATATAAATTTTACATATTACATGTTTCCATTCACATGGATAATTGAGTGGAACAATTTTAACATTTATTGTTTATTTAAATTATGAGTAATGAGACATGATAATCTTTTT